CTGGTCGGTGTCTCCCAGGAGCAACATAGCGTGCCAAGATGCTAAGAGGGTATGCCAGGTCAGGTCGAGTGCAGGTCATCAGGGACATGAGGCAGCCAACAAGCTCTGGGTATGGGTCACTCGGCTCTACGGACTCATCCGAAGGCAGAGCTGAGAGCGAGTGGCGAGTAGTCAGAGGAGTGGCCTGAGGTGAGGAGTACGTGAAGTTGAAGCGTTGAAGGACCTGTTGCACCATGTGTGACTGAGGCAAGGTAATGGTGCGGCGTGCTCTGTCCCGGGTGATCTGCAAGCCAAGATAGCTGCGCAGCTCACCCAGGTCTGTGCACGTGTGTCTCTTCTGCAGCTCGGACTTCATGTGGGCGAGTCCCTTAGTATCAGCAGTGGCAAAGACCAAGTCCTCGACGTACACGAGGATGTAGAACGGCGGTAGATTAGTGTCAGTGCGGAGAAACAACGTCGGGTCAGCAGTGGAAGGAGCAAACCCAAGAGCCGCCAGTGTAGTCATCAGTGTGTGGTGCCACTCATGGGGCGCCTGGCGGAGACCGTAGACTGGCCGCCGGAGGCTCCACTAGGTATCAGGAGGAAACGACCCAGTGAAGCCAGGTGGGCGGCGCGTTCAGATCTCCTCATGCACGCTGCCTTGTAGGAAGGCTGTGCTGAAGTCAAGAGAGTGAAGCTCGTAGTCACGCTGAGCAGCGACCTGCAGCAGTACCCGAAGAGTGGTCATCTTCGGGGTGGGAGAGAAGGTCTGAAAGTAGTCAACGCCCTGCCGCTGACTGAAGCCTCGAGCCACGTAACGCGCCTTGAAGACAGGCGGAGAACCTGGCGGCCGCATCACCCTGAAAATCCACATGCCGTCGACAATGTTCGCCCAAGGTGGGGAAACTTCGTCGACGTAGGTGCCTGTGGACTTCCAGGAAGCCATCTCTGCGTCCATGGCTGTCTGCCACTGAGAGGAGTAGGGATCCTCAACCGCCTCTGCATAAGAGCGCGGAATCGGGATGTCTGGTGCATCCGGGTCTCCCTCAGGGGCAAGTAGCATGGACATGAGATGAGGTGAAGCAGCACCAAAACACTGGAACTCCTCCTGCCTGTCCTCAAGGACGTCCGCGCCAAGGGCACACTCACTCCCGACGAACGGAGGACTGACAGAATCAGATCCAGCAACAAGACTAGCAGCCTAGTCCGGACGAGAGCGAGCAGCAAAGTCGACAAGCTCAGAAACAGGAGCAGACGCAGTTGTAGACTCAGAGGAAGGGTCAGTGACAACAGTGGCAAGGAGATGCGTCACAGTAGGACTAGCAGCACAAAGGGAGTCAGACTTTGGGTCAGCAAGGGCAGGAAGAGAGGACTCAGGAGGAGACGGCAGAGTGACATGCTGCGGAGCAGTGGAAGGACGTAGAGCCAACGGGTGCGTGCCAGGGATAGGAGGAGGACGTTGACGCGAACCACGACGACCACTGCGAGCAGCAGGAACAAGCGATGCTGGACGCGACGCAGGCTCACGACGCTCAGCAAGACCTTCGGTCGGACCAGTGTAAGGAGAAGGAGCAGGCATTGGGGAGGTGGGCTGTAGCTTTTACTGCGACAGGACAGGCGGTGGACAACTCTAAGGAAGGAGCAAGACCAGTAGAAGGCGGGAGACCAAGAACCTGCTTAAGGAGCGGAACGAAGTACGGCCGTGGCCGCTCAGCGCCCCCAGAATCAGCATGGACAACACCAGCACCCCAAGCGGCAGCTCCAACTCCAGCAGCACCACCAACTCTAGCAACACCTCAAGCAGCTCCAGCAGCACCAGCAGCACCAGCAGCTCCAGCAGCACCTCGAGCAGCTCGAGCAGCACCACCAGCTCCAACAGCACCTCCAGCAGCTCTAGCAGCACCACCAGGCCCAGCAGCACCTCCAGCAGCGCCAGCCCTAGCACCTCCAGCAGCACCGCCAGAGCCAGCGCATCCAGTAGCTCCAGCTCCGACGACACCACCAGGCTCAGGAGCTCCAGTACCTCCTGTACGACCAGCTCCGGGACCAGTGGCTCTAGAACCCCCAGCAGCTCCAGCAGCAGTAGGACCTCCAGCGCGCGTAGCACCACGAGCTCTAGCAGCACGGCTCCAGCGCTGAGCAAACCACTCACGCAGTTGCTGAGGAGAGAGTGGCTCCCACCGGGACGAAGCACCTGAAGGACCTCCAGGCCCAGCACCTCCAGACTCCACACGCGCAGGCTCAGCACCCTCAGGCTCTGCACCCCCACACTCAGCAACCCCAGGCTCAGCAACCTCTGGCTCAGCACCCCCAGACTCAGCACCCCTTAGGCTCCGCACGCTTAAACTCAGCACCCCAGACCCGGCACCCGCAGGCTCAGCACCCCTAGTAGCACCAGAGGCAACAGCTACCTCGACAGGCTCGACTGCGTATACCTGGGACACACCTGAGGGAGAAGGACCCTGAGGAGAGAGGGGGTCTACCGGGGGAGGACCTGGCGCGAGGAAGAGCGGCGTGGGGGGGGAGGGGGGTAGTGCGGTAGGGGAAGAGACGATAGTAAGGAACGAACTCGTCAAACGTGACGTCCTGAGAGGACAAAACACGTCGCGAGGTGGGGTGGTAAAACTGCCAACCAGTCACGTCAGGGGGGAAGCCAAGGAAGACGCATGGAACAGCACGGGACGACAACTTGTCCGCAGACAAGTCACGGACGAAAGCTCGAGATCCCCAGATACGGAACGCAGACGCATCGCTAACCTTCCCCGTCCACCGCAGAGTAGGTGTGGACTCCGGCATGGAGACCCGGGGCTGGAGGTTGATCTGATGCGCTGCGTACTGAACCGCGAACGGCCAAAAAAATGGGGAGCATCCGCATGGATCATGGACGTACGAGCGACGTCCATGACCATGCCAATGCGGCGCTCAGCAATCCCATCTTGTTGTGGAGAGGCCGGAAGCGTGAACGTCTGGCGGATGCCTTTCGCACGATAGAAGGCCCTCAGAAGGTTGGAGGAAAACTCTCCACCTCTGTCGGAGTGCAGACGCAGAACAGGAAAGTCCGAGCCGAAACTCTCGCTGAGTTGACGACGAGCAGCGTGGATCCAGTCGATCAGCACCTCAGTGACCTCACCCTTGCGGCGCAAGGGGAAGACTGTGGTGTAATGCGATTAGAAAGTAGCGCTCGTGACCCTGTCCACGGACGCTGGCGGGGCCCCACACGTCCATGTGAAGAGTCTGCAGGGGAGCCTCGGTCAGAGGGAACTCGGAGGAGTGAGGAGCGGCGCGCTGCCGCCCCTCGATGCAAGGAACGCAGGTAGGGGCAGGCCCAGGGGGGAGGGGAGGGAGAGACGGGGCAACACCAATGACAAGGACACGGGAGGCCATGCCTCGGAGACGAGGTAGGGAGGGGTGATCAAGGCGGTGGTGCCAGAGGAGAGTCTGTTGAGACAGGAGGGGACACAAGCAAGGGGCAGTCTTAGGACCAGTCTAGGATGCTGCAGCAAACACCTGACCCGACGCAGCTACCTGACTTGACTCAGCAACGCGAGGAGACACGGTAGTCAGGGTGTATAGGCTCGACCCAGGCTGACGAGTGAACGTGGCCAGGTGCCGGCCCGTCCGAGTACACGAACAGTGGGTCACCCGCTGACCTCCAGGAGTGAACTGGTCAACCCAAGCGTCCTGAAGGTCAGCTCCACTCACCAAGTTCGTGGAGAGCCAGACAGAGAGCCAGACGGGACCCCCGACATGGCAGAACCGTGGAGGAGTGTGCAAGGACCGGACCCCCAGAGGGGTCAGCCAGAGAGACTTCCAATGGCCGACTGAGCGGCAAGAGTGTGGTGCAGTCACAAAAGAAAGAGCGGGAAGCACCCGAGTCCAGGGTGAAAGTGTGCAAGACCTGAGCTGACGCGGTACCTGAGAGAGCAGACTCACCAGCACCTGGAGCAGCAGACTCACTAGCACCTAGAGCAGCAGCCTTAATGCCCGGGTCGAGCGGAACACACAGGTAACAGTCACCCTCAGCACTAATAGACAAAGCATACATAGCAGCAAGGATAGCATCGTTATCAAGATCAAAGATAGCAACCCCCGACTTAAGCAGATCAACCCAGCGCGGAATCTCAGTGGCGTCAGGAAACTGTGCATGCCAGGCGTCAGTCAGGCGGCCGAAACAGCGCTGCGTGGCGTGCGGCCCTCCGCACGTCTCCCCACTGCGCTCGCCGGTGCGGAGAACGTAAGCACAGGGACCAGCACACCTAGACCTCCCACACCCAGCGTACCACTCATGAAGCTGCTGGGGCGACAGGGTCTCACGAGAACGCTGCTGGTGCTTGCGCTGGCCACCACCAAAGCCTCCACACTGCACTGCACCACCCCGATCAGCACCACTGCCGCCGCCACCCCCACTGCCGCTGGCGCCGCCGCCTCCACCCCCACCAACCCCACCTCCACCCCCACCCCCTCCGCCGCCTCCACCGCCACCAGCGCCGCCCCCGCCGTCTCCTCCAGCACCCTTGCCCCCCTTGCTCCTACTGCTGTGGCGCCTCCCACTAGGAGCAGACGCAGCTCCGACCGAATCGGTGCCAACGAGTTCGGCAACAGAAGGCAAAAGGGGAACGGGAGAGCACCCCTCAAAGAAAGGGGCATGAGGGTCACCACGAAAGGCTCCTACAGCAACTATACTCTTCTCAGCTGCAAGGAGGCGCTCCTCGAGGAGGTCAACGGTGAGCGTGGTGGGGCAAAGGGAGAGGAAGTGGTCCCTGACCGAGCGAAGGGAGTCAGGGAGCCGGGTGACGAGGTAGTAGAGAGTGATGTACATAGGGGGGGGGGGGGGGTTCTTGGCGCAGAAATCGGCAGGAAGCGCAGTGCGGTAGCGGGTGTCACTAGTGCAGAGGTGCGTGATGAGGTCAGCGACTGTGGCAAAAGCAGCTAGGTCAAGGAACAGGTACGGCAGCATGAGGCGGCTAAGAACAGCAGTGGCACGGGAGGAGTAGCGTGCAACAATAGCATCGTACAGAGTCCTAGCGGTCTTGTACTGGCTAAAGTGCGCGCGCTCAGCAAACGGCAAATGACTACGAATAGCAAGACGGGCAGCAGCATCGAGTGTGGTCCACTGCGAGCAAACAACACTGTCAGCATTGGCAGCAGGTGCAACAGAGACGCCAGATGTGTGATCGAACAGTGAGACTCCGTCCCTAGAATCTCTCCCCTCTCTCTCTCTCTCTCTCTCTCTCTCTCTCTCTCTCTCTCTCTCTCTCTCTCTCTCTCTCTCTCTCTCTCTCTCGTCTCCTCCTCCTCATTTACCTCCTTCTTGTCTTCCACTGCGAGAGGTGTACTTCAGGGGGCGTAACTACACTTCATCCTACAAGCAATTATGGGGGCGTGTCAAATCATGTCTACATATTTTATAACTGCTTGTAGTTGTAGTGTAGGCAGTATGATTTCCTGCTTTTGGTGCACCTCTCCTTGCATGTTTCTTATATCTGTAATTGCAATTTTATAGTGCAACCACTCTTTTGTACTACTCTCTCTCCTTCCTTTCGACATTCACCTAGGCTAAGGTTTCTCCTAAGCCTTGGTTCACCTACTAATTTAACACGCTGGTCAAGCTGTTTTTTCCCGTAGTTCTGCTTTTCCTATGTTGTTTTTGCCGCCTCATCTGGCACAGGTCTAAGGCGTTTGTTGTGCGTGAATTGCGCATGCATCACTTGTTGAAATTGGCCCCCTCTTGTGATTGGGATTTGCACGTCGCCATGAAATTGCCCCCCTCGTGTGATTGGGATTTGCACGTCGCCAACTTGCGACACATGCTTGCGACACTTTTTTGTAAGAACTTGTGCGAAGACTTGAACGCGCCTGAAAAACAAAACAAAACAACACTTAGACCGACTAAACCTCTACAAAGTTAGTTTGAGTTTTCAAGTGGACCCACTAGAAGGGGGGAGGTTCACTATTTTAGCTGTTGACTTTCAAACCTGACGAAGTAGTGTTTGCAAGCTTTGAAAAGAAGCGCGCTTGCAATTTGGGACTTTCGGGGACTGACCCAACCCATAGGGTGAAATACGAAGGCAGGCTGGGTTTGGCGAAAAAAAAAAAAAAAAACAAGAGACGACGAAGTCGCCACAGGGTTGTGAAGCATGTTATGTATCTGTACAACTTCTGAAACTATGCATAACACTGTAGTATCACACTAGACTAGGCACTTTATCAATCTTGGCAGAGTTACTGAAAACAACCGAAGGATTTGAACTCGAGACCTTCCTAAACACTCAACCGTCTGCGCCAATGCTGCGACAAAGTTTTCACTACAAAATTTATTTGGCACGAATCTGACACTTCCTTAGGGTTTGTTCGATTCATTTTTTCTCTCCCTCGCTGGTTGAGCTCCCCAGTAGTCACGCTCCACCTACCATGTCAAGTTCATACTAAGGTGAGAACAACCCTAATCTCTCTGGTAGAATTAAGTTAGAAGAATTAGAGCTAGACTAACATGTCTTAAATTCTTCTCATAATCGTTTGTGTCTGAATATTATGGGAGTACAAGGGGTCACAAGACCAGTCAACTAAAGCAAAGCAAAACAAGCTCAGGAAGGATCACAAAGTCACCACACATTCCGAGCACAAAGTCAAGGCCACAAGGCCACTTCACATGCAGGAGTACACATATATATACAAAAGCTAGACAAGTAAGAGCAGGTGTATATATATTTGTAACAGTACAAGCAAGGTCAAGAGGTGAGCAAGTGAGGCAAGGCAGGCACAAGACCCAGCTGAGTACAGAAGCGCTGATGATCACAAGGCGCAAGCGCCTTGGTGAAGATTGTCAGAATATTATGCTCTAGCCTGTAGTGGGGTGCTCTATAGCGAGTACAACCCTTCTAGGGTTTGCTATTTGTATCCTCATTCTTGCTAGTGCTATCCTCTTCTTTCTTTTAAAATTTCACATGCTATCAGAGCAGGTCGATCCCCTTGGATCGATCCTGTGGGTGGGCTCACCACCTCGTTGCTTCCGCTGCAACTCCCATTGCTACTCTCTGTGCCGCACGCCTAGTGGCGTGCGGAAGTTTTTTCTTCCCGCCGTGCGCCCCGAGGCGCGCGGCGGTTTTCTGCCCGCCGTGCGCCCGTGGCGCGCGGCGGTTTTCTGCCCGCCGTGCGCCCCGAGGCGCGCGACGGGTTTCTGCCCCGTCACTCGGCGCGTCGCCCCCGGGAGGCGCTGCGATGGGCGACGGGGGGGGCCCGCGCGTCGCCCTCCGTCGCCGCTCCTATCGGCCCGGAACTGCCGCCAGCGGCCCCGTCGTCCCGCCGCCCTACCTGCGGCCCCGTCGTCCCGCTGCCCTACCTGCGGCCCCGTCGCCCTACCTGCACCTCGGCCCCGGCCCCGGCCCCGTCGCCGTACCCACGGTACCGCCTCCCCCCCCCCCCCTTTTCCAGTCGCCCGTCGCGGCTCCTTCGGGGGCTGGGGGGTGGCGGGTGTGTGGTCTCCCCTGATCCTCCTCCTCCTCTGTCTCCCACTGCTGCAGCTACCGCTGAGGCGGGTGGGTGTGTGGGATTCGACGGAGTGGTGCTAGGGGGTGGGGTGGGAGTGGAGCTAGGGGTGTAGCAGCGGGTGTGTGTCAGGGCGAGTGGGATCGTTTGGGGAAGCTGAATGGAGGTGCCGTCGTGTCGCCAGCAGCACCTGTATTCCGGGGAGTTGCTCCGGTAGCCCAGTCGTAGCCAGCTGTGCCAGTCGCCCGTGGGTCCGTTGCTCGTCTGCCGCTACTTTAGCCGCGGGGCCAGTTACTCCAGTAGTCCGGAGCGTTGTTCCGGTAGCCACTGTGCCAGTGTGCCTCCTGTTGCCCGTGTGTATGCAGCTTCAGCCGTCACCTCCTATCTTCTCTCCTCTCACTCTCTCTCCTCCTCCTCACTTGCCCGTTGTGACTACCACTAGCTTTGCTCATAATTGTGAACTTAAACTATTACTTCTTGCACTTGTGCTCAGAATGTGTGGTGACATTGTGATCCACCCTGAGCTTGTACTGCTTTGCTTGCTCTGCTGATTACACCCCACTTCGGCTATGGGGGTGTGTCAGAATATTATGCTCTAGTCTGTAGTGGGGTGCTCTATAGCGAGTACAACCCTTCTAGGGTTTGCTATTTGTATCCTCATTCTTGCTAGTGCAACCCCTCTTCTTTCTTCTAAACTTTCACATGTTATCAGAGTGACCAAGGTCCTGACCTGTGGGCCCATCCTAAAGCTTCCGCTGCTACTCTGTGTTCGGCACGCCCCGTGGCGTGCCCCTTATCCTTTTTCTTAGCGGCCCCGTTGCCGCCCTTTCAGGCCCCTCGCGGCCCCTTCGCAGCCCTCCCGCCGCCCTTCGCTGCGGCCCCCGTCGCCCTTCGCTGCGGCCCCGCCACCCTTCGCTGCGGCCCCGCCGCCCTTCGCTGCGGCCCTGCCGCCCGTCACTGCGGCCCCGCCGCCCTTCACTGCGGCCCCGCCGCTCTTCACTGCAGCCCCGCCACCCTTTGCTGCGGCCCCGCCGCCCTTCGCTGCAGCCCCGCCACCCTTCGCTGCGGCCCCGCCGCCCCTCGCTGCAGCCTTGCCGCCCTTCGCTGCGGCCTCGCCGCCCTTCGCTACGGCCCCGTTGCCCACCTGCGGCCCCGTCGCCCACCACGGCCCCGTCGCCACCTGTGGCCCCGTCGCCCGCTGCGGCCCTGTCGCCACCTGCGGCCCCGCCACCTTCGGCCCCGTCGCCCCTTGCGGCCCCGTCGCCCACCACGGCCCCAATGCCACCTGCGGCCCCGCCCACTTGCGGCCCCGACCTCGCCCCGGCCATGCCCTGTCGCCAGCCTTGGCATACCGGGGGCCCGTGGACCCCCCCCCCCCCACCTTTTCCCGTCACCCGTCGTGGCTCCTTCGGGGGCCGCGACCTGGAAGGCGTGGGCAGGCGTCGCCCCCTCTGCCGCCTGCTTTGGCGCCCGGGGAGGCCGTGCGTCCCCCCCCCCCCCCCCCCCCCCCCCCCCCTTTTCCCCCCCTTCCCCCTTCCCCCTTTGTCTCCCTGCAGCTCCAGGGGGGAGGGTCTGGGGGTGGCGGGTGTGGGGGTGATGCGTGTTGTGCTTCCCTTCCCCTCCTCCTCCTTTCGTTCCCACTACTGCAGCCGCTGATGGGGGGGAGGGTGTGAGGGTGTGGGGGAGCCGGGGGAGTGGCACTGGGGTGGCGGGTGTGAGACCAACCAGCCGCCGTCCCTCTACCTCTCCTCTCTTCCCCCCCTCTGCTGCTCCTGCAGCAGTGTGTGGGGGAGGGGGAGAGGGAGGGGGAGGGTGAGGGGATGGAGTTGTTGCCTCTTTCTTTGCGCTTGGTGTACCTCTGCAGGAGGTGTACTACACACGGTTCTTCACTGCAGGCAGTTAGGGGATGTGTCAGAATGTAATTGTATGCATTACTATAACTGCCTGTAGTGTAGACCTAGTGTAGTTATATCGCTTTCATGTTAGGTGGTGCACCCTTTTCCTTCACTATATCTTGTACAACATTCCATAGTGAAACCCTCATTCCTCTCGACATTCCTCTCCTTTTCAACTTGCTCGATACTCAACTTCTCCTACCTCACTAGCTATGGCTCCTAAGCCTTGCTAGGATTCCCACAGTTTACTCTAGTGTTGACCGGTTTTGAAGGATGCAAGTTGGCTAAAGCTAGGTGAGTTCGTACTTATGAAAACTTCCTCATCTAATTCTTTTACCAGCAACTCAGGTGCTTCTTATTTTATGTTCTCCTTACCTTCGTTACATTCTCTAGAGAGATTTTTTTTTCCAATTCTTGTTTTATCTTTCTTCCTTCAACCTCTAGATTGTACTTTTGATTTGGAAATTCATTCTTTATACAGTGCCTTCTCTATTCTATATTTGCATTAGTAGTTGTGTTCTGATTTCATTGTATGATCTCTCCTTATTAGCCTTCTATTTTTTCGTTTTCTCTACACCTTTCATGTTTGATTTCTTTCTCTCCCCCTTTCTTTCTTCCCTTCTGTCCGTCTCCTCCTGCTGTTTCGATTCCACTCTTCTGTGAGAATTGAGGAATGAAGAAGAGAGGAGGGGTTCACTAGCAAACATTGGGATACATATAGTAAACCCTAAAAGGGTTGTACTCACTATAGAGTACCCCACTACAGACTAGAGAAACATAATATTCTGACACACCCCCATAGTCAAAGTGGGGTGTAATCAGCACAACAAGCAAAGCCGAACAAGCTCAGGGTGGATCACAATGTCACCACACATTCTGAGCACAAGTACAAGAAGCAACAGTTTAAAGTTCACAAATGTAAGCAAAGCTAGAGACTATCGCAGAGGGCAAGTGTGGAGGAGGAGGGACTATGAGAGGAGGGGAGGTAGTTGGCGGCAGCTAAAGCTGCTGGCACACGGCGCAACTGGAGCAACTGGCACACGGGCAACTGGAGCAACTAGCACACTGACAACTGGAGCAACTGGCACACGGGCTACTGGAGTAACTAGCTCCGCGGCTAACTCTGAGCGCCAGGAGCAACGGACTCACGGGCGACTGGAGCAACTGGCTCACGGGCGAGTGGCGCAACGGGCTCACGGGCGACTGGCGCAATGGTCTCACGGGCGACTGGAGCTGCGGGCTTCACGGTGGCCACCCCCCTTCAACCTCCCCAAACTATCCCACCCCCATTTCACACACCCTCTACTGCACCCCTAGGTTCACTCACACCCCACCCCCTAGCACCACTCCGTCGACTCCCACACACCCACCCCCC